ATGTCCTTTCTAGGCAGTTTTGATATTTGTTAGGTCAGTGAACCCTGATGATACCACGCCTTTTTTGCCAGCCTTTCCACTTAACAATGCATACTGCTGCTGCCACTGTGTGGTGAGAACGCAAACCTGCAGGGGTCCCGGATGGCCGTGTGGCTGCCTCTTGCGGGTCTGCTTGATGAGCTGGCAGAAAAACTCATTCTGAAGCTCGGGGTGGGCCAGGCACACCTGCAGGGCACTCTGGGCCAGGGAGACGTGGTAGTCGATGGCCGGAGCATCGATGGCCACGTTAATGAAGAGCTGACAAGTCTGAGAGGCGGTGATGGAGAGAGTTTAAAAGAGAGAAAATATTTTTGATACAATTAGTCATTTGATAGAAGAAACATTCAGTGGCTACATTTTTTATTCGAACATGTGGAGGTTTGTGGTACCTTGAAGAGTTTCACTGCCTCTGTCTGCAGAGCTTGTGAGGGCAGGGTGGTGAGAGGAAATGACAAGGCTTCTTTGCTGAAACACAACATGGGATGTCTCCAAATCTGAGAGTCTGAAAGGCAGGTAGGAGAGTGGGTCATGAGAGTAAAAGACGGAAGGAATAGCAACTAAAATAAAAATGAAAGAAACAATGTTGTGTACTTCCAAAACTGAACTAAGCTGAGTCAAATTTGTCAAAACAACCTCCAATAACAGACAGTGGTGCATGCATTTTTATTATTGAGCTTTATTACTGCACTGCTGTAAACGTGACCTGACAAATAACGTCCCTACATTAATAAGAAGAACAAAAACGAGCAAAAACCAAGCACAAAAATAAACATTTTAAGAATTTTTGCTTTCTGTTTTCTGTCTAATTATAATCTCTTGACAAAAAAATGCTCACTGTGCAACTCTGTGCAGAGGACAACAAATCCTACTGTATTTCACATAAGTCTCTCTAACTGCAGACTCCAAAGTGAGGCTGTAGTTGTCGAGCTGTTACTCAATGACTTTGAAAAATAAAACACTGTTGAAAGAAAAACAATCTTTGCTTCTTACTTAAGAAATTCCCGAGCTACAGTTAATTTCTGTCCCTACAAATAAAACGTACCCTCAGTGTACACTTCAGGGCTATTTAATGTCCCTAGAGGTGCGTGCACCGTTTTGACGACCAAATAGATGCCCAATAAAATAATATGTTCACATGCAGTAAAACGTGTGCAGGACACAGTTTGTGTTCAGTAAAACACTGAAAAAAGACAAATATAATGTAATACATTCTGATAAGTTAGTAATGTCACTGCAAACAAAAGAGGTCCAGGTTTGAAACTTGATACAAATGTCTAATTTAGCAATTCACACAGTAAGTGCTTTCTATTTCACTATCACTGTCGATCTTACGTGCTGAACAACAATGTTTAATATTTAGTATTTACTGATATATTCCCATATATCATCATGATGTTGTTTATTCTATTGCTCTCATTTTCTTCTGCTTGTTTTCTTTTTTCTTTCTCAACAGGTGATCCAGGTGATTGATATATGTATTTATTTATTTTTTTGTCTGCTTATTTAGTTGGTTTTTGGGGTTTTTTGCCCTTTATCCCCGTCCCTCTTCTCCGCTGTTTTTTCCCCCTCTTCCTTTCTCCCTTTTCTTTTCCTCATTCAAGTCTGTCC